TCAGGCAGTGAATTTGATCTTAAAAGAAGATTTTAGATTTTTGAAAGTTCTTTCCTAAAGGAGCATTTGACATATTTAAAACTAAATGCACCAAATGTTCATACTGTTTGGACCAAGTGGCTTAACAAATAGAAAAAAGAAATTGGCTGCAGTTAATGTTTCCAGTTCCCCACTCTTCAGCTAACCCCTCTGACAGGGATCTGGCAAGCCTTTTTATGCACAGTGCCCCATTTCAAAGGATACCATTTAAGCATGGTGTCCTTTATCCCAATCCCAATATTTAAACAGGGATATGTTTGGGTTAGAGGAGTTACTTGGGAGGCAAACTTTATTCTCATGATACCCAGGAAGATTACAAGTTAGAAAAAATTAAGGAAAATAATAGGGTTAAGGTGTGACCTACTGAGGCAAATTAGAGAGGCCAGGGGTCAGACCTGCCTGCTGCTCTGGCCTCTGTTAACATTAACATTATTAACTCTATTGACATTAAATATATCGAGCTGCATGTTTGCTCTGTTGTATTGTATAACTCCAGTGACTGCAGAAGAATTACGCTGGCATGTAACCAGTAAAAGGGAGTGGAGAATCAGCCACCTTTTTCTAGTATTACTCAAAAACTGCTGATGTTCAGGCATCATGTCTCTGAGTCCTGCCCTCCTCTCCTCCACCTCCCCAGACTGGCAGGAGAGCAGGGACTGGAAGTAGCACAGCACGTGCTCATCACTGAACATTTTGGGATCCTTTGGAAGCATTTCACTGTATGGCTGTGGCCACTCTTCTGGGATAACACAGAGTTAATCAATCAGGTTGGTTACAAATGTTTATTTTTTCAGTAGAAAATGCTGCCTCCTCCCAAATCCAGCCTTGATAGGACTGCAAGAGGGCTGTGTAGGTCGCTTGATGACACATCTACAAAAGTGGTTAGGAGCAGGTTCACTCACGTGCTCTGTTTCAAAGGCTACTGTGTGAGCATGGTCACGTCTTTCAGCGTCTAGGTCCTCCTAGGTGTGACGGCACTCAGAAGCCAACGCTGTAGCAGCCAAAGCCTTTGAACTCCCACATGCTGGCCACATTTCCTAGCAGGGCTTCACATGCAGTGGTGCAGATCCTCTGCATCAGAGAAAACAGAAACATGGAAAACAGAGAGGGCAGGAGGCAGGGTGGAAAGCTTGGCATCTGCAACAGCTTTAAACTTGAAGCTGTAATTTCTGCAGCTTGATTGGGTTCTGCATCTGAAGTATACAATGGCATCTTTTAACAGCCTGGGTAGCACGTCGCTGCTTATGACAGTTTACTGTCAGCTCTGGTTCATAATACCTTTTCTTTCCTTTTGCACCAACAAGGTAGGCAAAGGAGCAGAGTAAGTACCATATGAAGTGCTCATGGTTCCAAATGTGACACAGAAAGACAGGGCTGGTGGATAAATTAGAGTCAGACTTCCATAGGTAGTTAAGTACTTCTGGATGCAGATCAGTGCTTGCTTAAGATTTCTTCTAAGCTTCCAGGCTCCTTGTTGCTACCAGGAACTAGGAACACATGGGATTTTGAAAATCCCAGCCTCTGAAACATACTTAAGCACTATTGCCTATTGCTCCCTGAGATGTAGACAACCAAACTCTTTGAAAGCACTAGGCTGCAGCCAGTACCTATCTATCTGACCCTCTAAAGACTTATAAACACCTGGTGCGTGTTTGGCAGACGATCTGCAAGCTTGAGGCCTCATCTGACCAAAGCTTAAACTGTAACCATTGATTTAATCATGGAAGTGATGGTCCGCTCTTAAACATGCCAAATTAACTTCTGGTAGGGCTATGGCCTGAGATAGCTTTTTTTTTTTTCCTAAGAATTAATGGATCCTCATTTCTCCTGCTCTGAGTCAGAGTTTAAACCTACAGGCCATTCCCAATGCAGCTGAAACAGAAAATGAACATAGAGAAGTGAAATTTTCTAAGTGATATCTGAATCCCCTCTCTCTGATGAAATCCCATCTTTTGATCTAGTCAAATGACTGTAGTCTTCATGGGTCCATCCTGCAAAGCCTCTTCGGCTGCCTTATTACTGCAATTCTTCAGGTGCACTGTGACCGTCTTTCAGTAGAGGACAGGTTCCAGCTAATCAAGTGGAAAATGAAAACTCCCAGAGATGAAATACTAGTCCTTGTGAAAGGTATGGCAAAACTGCCATGGACACCAGAGTCCACACATGTCTTCGGACATTATCTCAAGTTTGAATTTCCATTTGAATCCTTACTTCCTGACTCTCTAAAACACTTATACAGAGGGTTTGACTTAAATAAGCCAATTTATCACCCTTTCCCCAGTATCTTGAGCTTAGAAGGGGCTGGCTCACAAAGGACCCATGCCTCTACGGGGAACGTACTAGGATCCAGCTGGCTTGGGTTAGACCGTCTATAATCACACAACAGTATTCCAGGAAACTTTGTGGTCTCATGGGTCCCTTGCCTCCTTCCACACCTTCCACCATCCGCTCTAATCACGCCACTATGAACAATTTATCTGCTCTGGTCTGCCAAGGAGCCCTGTCGTTTGTGGACTGTTGCCTACAAGGAGAGCACCTCGGATTGCTGAGGAAAACTGAAGGCTCATGAAAGAACAAAGCTGAGTCCTTTGTTGCAAGAAAACTGTTGTGACACTGGATCTGAGGGCTAGGGATTCAGACCAATTTGACTAGCAAAGGGGAATAATTCAAACCTAAACACAAAAAGGAGTCTGTCAAAACGAGCTACAGAAGTATGGAGTCAGCTGTCAAGCTCGAGATGGGTCTTAATGAAGCATAGTGCGGACAAGGCAATAATGATCTAAGGCCTACAGTGAGGCTTCAACTAGCTGGAGCCACTTGGCTTGGCAAACTGAGCTCCTCAAGCTGGCACCACTATCAGAGGCTCTACAAGAATAGCCTACAGAAGCAGAATTTCTGTCTTGATTTGCAAATAGAGTATCATAGTTCTTATGCCTTGTATGTGGGTGCATAGCAATGAGTGCTAACTTATATGTCTTGCCTGGGCTTTAAATGGTCTCTGACCATAAAAGTTAATGCTGCTTTGATGCAGCATTCCTAAAAGGAAGTGTTTGTCAATTCTGCTATAAATGTTTGAGCTCAACAGTCTTAATTCAATTTGTCAGATAAGAGAAAATCATGTTGGCTTGTACTTATGATTTATCACTTCTATCTTAGCACTAGAGATGTTTGGAGAGCAAACTAACTCTTTAGTTTGTGTTTTGCTCTGTGTTGCTTTTTAATCCATTCAAGCCTTGCCAGGAAAATCCATAACACTCCTATACCAGTGTCAAACCTGCTGCAGAGGGCACATCTGGAAAGCACTGAGTCCAATGATACCATTTTTGATAAGTCAAACATAGCTGGACAAGCAGAGACTTGAAGACAGGCAAGAAATGGAGAGAAGTCCATGGTGAATATCTGAGGCCCATGCTACTGCACTGGTCAAGGTAAGCCACACCACCAGACACAGGGGAGCAGTGATGGAGCTGAGATGAAAAAAGGGATGAGCCTGGATCCTCAAGCAAGTAACAAAAGCACAAAAGAGCAAAGAAGAAACATGTAGTGAGTAAAGAAAGAGACAGGATACAAGTTATTTGTTTGAGGGAAAAAAGGACCAGATCACTTCAGGAATCTGGGTGTTTAACTGCCTTTGTTTAGGAACCCCACAAAAACCCCTTTGATGACCTGGGCCAATATGGGTGCAGAGGTAACAGGGTGGTTATCATCTCTCTATTAGCACCAAAACAAATATAAGAACCAGACATACAGTCTTGATAACTCCACCATCTGGTCATGGTTGGCTTTTGAGACCACTACCTGCATGCGACCATAGCAGGCAGAAAATAGTTTAGGTTAATCTCAGTGGTGTGAAAATATGATATCTGGTGACCGAGTTTCCGAACTTAAATACATCCATGTCTCATCCTTTCATGTAGGAGAACACCTTATTAAACGCCTCGTATTACCTGTGTTTCTAGAGTGCCCGTCTCCGAGGCATCTGGGCTGTTGTGTTCATTGGATTTTTACAGGAAATCGTACATTTCTGAAGCATTTACCTGGAAAAAAAATTATAGGTGGATTAAAATAGTGACAAAATGTAAAGAAACTCCTAGCTTACTGGAAGCCATTTTGTTTCCTCCAAACATTGCCTCACTACAGTCAATCTGCTTATATCTAATGACACTAGTACAGTGGCCAGGATAAACTGACTATTCAGTCAAGATAAAGCAAGATGGTATGTATGAGGAGCCAAATATTTACAGCAGACTGTAGGATGCCTTGAAGGACCCTGATGGGTATTCTGTAGGGTCTGTGGTGCCTGTGTCCAATCCTTCCTCCTTTTGAATGATGCAAAGAGTAGCAGGAGAAGGTACACAGGAAAGGAAAGTGTAAGTAGGATATTACATTCAATTCTCTCCAAGAGTTTGTTCTGTGCTCCAGTCAACCCAGTGTCCCAGAAATAAAAACTATTGCAAGAAATTGTCGTGGGTAGAGAAGGAACAGATGCACAGCTTTCTCAAAAGGATATTACGATACAGCAGATACAAGTGGTCACATAGTGTTGTTACTATGACCATCTAAGTATCAGAGACAGAAAAGAAGTAGTAAGTCCCTATGACCATGGCAGTTTGGGCTGAAAACAGTGGATCTAATTAACACTGCTTGAATATGTATATTTGAAGGCTGCACTGGAGGAGTCAAAGTGTGTTAGTCTAGTAACAGCGCTAGTCATGTTACCGGATGAAGGTGGTAAAGGTGGCAAGAATGAATGCAGAAGGCCTGCTGTGGGTCAGGGTGCTGTGCTGGGAGCGGGGTCTTGGTCTACCTTGGTTCTGAACTTTCCCTTTTTCGGTGCACGCTTAGCTTTGTCTGTCAGAAGGGGGACAGTGCAGCCAAAATTCAGGTTTCTACGGATTCCTCTCTTCAGTCTAACATATAAGGAAAAGACATATCCGTGCTCTGGAACTCCTTTGATTTCTCCATTCCTCAGTGTTGGCAGCCACCGCATGAAAGAATTTCAGGGGAGCAGCAACACTTCCGGGAGGGTTGTTGCTACAGGGTATGACTGATACAGACACGTCATTGAAACTCAACTGCAAAGGTCCATGGAGGGCTGCTGAAAATTTTGCATTAGCCTCCTGCTTTTATAATAGTGCTGTGCGATATGGAGAACAATACAGAGATGACAACTTTGGCTTCCCCCATGTTGATGGCTCTCTCCCCTTTCATTTTGGCATTGGTAAGTGCACACCAAAGATTTTCCACTTCTCTTGTTTCAAAGGGAACCTCTATGCACCCACAATTGCCAATAACTATTTCCTCTGGTCTTCACAGGCTGTTCCTGGCTCAGACACCTTCCCTGCACCCTTTGGGAGATGAGGCAGATAATACGGGGAAAGGAAGAGCTACACTGATTCTTGGGACTAACAGAAAAGGTACCCAGTTAAAGGACTTAGCAGGGGGCCTCAGATTTGCTTGCAAAGTCCCTGTGTGTCTGTTCTCGCGATCAAAGCGACTGTGAGAAATTGTGGTTTTTCAATTCATTTTTTGCATATGGGAAAGAGGATGGCTTTGTGCAATGGCTGTTTAAAAATACTTCAAAAGAACTTGAATCAGTCCATGGCTGCGCTATATACAAATTAAAATAATTGATTTTTGGCAGCCTTTTAGGAGATCTATAAATTAAAGGGATCGCGTTTCTGATACGATTTGGGGGCCTTTATTTTATGTTGACTTTCAAAGTGCCCTCCCTCCCAGAGCTGGAAGTCAGCCATCAAAACAAATAGCGCCTCTCACTTTCATTTGCTCTGCCCTCCTGTCACAGGAGTCACTGGGTCTCCTTCAGGAGTGCCCACGCTCACTGCGGGTCCTGGAACTTGCACAGAGAAAGAGAAGCAGCTCTGCAGAACCCAAGCAGAACAAGCCCTTTGCAGAGTTAGTTTCTCTCCCTCTTTCTCCATCAGTACAAACCAGTACCCTCACCCAGCTTGTGTTGCACCTGGGCTGTCCCCATTCTGTGCGCTGATGGCAATAGGTTCAGCTCTGCCTGTGATGACCTAAAAATAGCTCTCAATTAACATTGCATTTCAAGAATTGGAAAATTTCCCAGAAGTCCATTCTTTTTTCCTTTTCTGTTTCATTACATTTTACAGTAATAATACACAAGCCTGTAGAAAACATGACGGGTAATGAAAAAATGTAATTAATATAAGCAGTGTAAAGCATTTTTTTTCCCTCTGTTGTCCTTGCAGAAAATTACTGCTTTAAACTGAGCAGGATGTGAAAATGCATAAAGCAAACAGTAATATGCTGTGGTTTGTAAATATCTTATGCAAAATAGTTAAGTCAACCGCTGTTTATTTTTCTTACTTTGTGTCACAAGCTCTTACTTTCTTTTGTTCATTACTTCTTTCGTGTTTTTCTTTTTTTTTTTTTGTTTTTTTTTTTTTTTTTTTTTTTTTTTTTTTTTTTGGCTTTCTTTTAACTAAAGAAAGCCCCTGGGTTAACTATATTTTTTCTACCACAGCTAACTCAATCAAATGTGTAGGACGGGCTATTCTGTCTCTTCTTACCATCTCCTCCTGCTTGTTGGCTCTGAAATGCAACATACACTGCAAAAGCGTAGCAAGTCAGGTCCTCAATGCACTAAGGATCTGGTATCATTGTTTTGAGATTAAAAAAAAGAAAAGCACCCTTTTATCCCACAAAGAAACAAGCAATTACCCCAAATCCTGCAATAGCATTGGTACAGACTAGCATTTCTGACTGTTACTGCAGGATCCTGTAGTATTTTTATACGGCTGCCTAGTCAGAGATTTTAGAAGGGGCTGTGAGCAATATGCCGGCAAAATTAATGAAGATGGCACGGTATATGCCAGCTCTCCTTGGGATATTTCTCTCTGGCTATCTGTAGAACTTGTAATATCCAGCGATATCTGAAGGTCACCGCAGAGTTTCTGCGCTGCAATACAAAACAGCATTCCAAACACATCTTCTGCGGCCAGACAAGAAACTGCTTATGGTTTATTTTCGCTCCCCCCCACCCTCCCCGCAGCTGACATCCAGCATTAGTTATTGTTTATTTTTGTCTTGTTCCTGGTTCTAAAGGTTTCCCTTATGGCCTTGGTTTATGTGAACTTTCAGATATCACTCGGGGCTTCTCTGCCTCATCCCCTCTGATGCAGCCGGCTCCCCTGTGAAGGTAGGTTTCCCCAGCCGAAGCTCTGCGCCTCTCTCCTGTGGCATTCTGTGCAGCCATTTGGAGTCCCAGATGTAGGAAATGAAATAATCCACGCTCATACAGTCATGAAAGTGCCCATCTGGCACACAGGAACATCACGCATTGGAAGCACACAAGCGTGAGCTCACTTTTGTTATGGCATTTCATAAACAGAGATGCAGCGAGCCAGCAAGTAAGGTCCTTTGGATAATAACAATCGCTTCCACCACACGTTGTGTTTAAAACATAGGGGAAGAAAAAATCAAGACAAACTGGAAAGATTTGTTCTGAGGCTTCTGAGGAGAAATTTCTACTTAAAAACGTTTTTTCCCAGTGGCCTGCTGTACTTACATCTCTCTGGCTCTCTTGCTCGCTATGTAGATGTAAGACAATGGTGACAGTTGAAATGTAGCCAGTTAACTCTTGGTTAGCTCTGAAAGCTCTTCTTCCTCACGGCTCTGTTAAAGAAAGGAAATATTAGATCATACTTACAAAAGTGAGTTCTATAAAAACAAATTGCATGTTACTGCTTTCTTATCACTACATAAAACTCACAGAAACAGTCTAATAAATGACCTCACCACTCAATTTTGAAGTATACAAATTAAAGACAGCAACAGATAAGCCAAGAGAGATTAATGTACAGTGTGAGTGCCTGTATATATGTGTATGCATGCCTGTATGTGGATATACCCACATGCTGTTGACATTCAACCTCCGGAATTATAATTAGAGGAAAAGGCAGAGGTGTAAATTCATCTTGCTGGCCAGTGTATATATGTTGTGCTAGTCCCTGATTAATTCAGGACTTGAACACTATTTACTCCAAGACACAAGGTTTCTACGGGGATATGTTGCCTCATAAAGGAGTCGAATACAAGGAAACGATGAACAGCCCAAAACAATGGACTAAGTTCAACAGCAGTAAGTAAAAAGTAAGGTTATTTATATTATTTTAGCTTTGTAAAGTAATTGAAAAAAGACACCCTAGGCATTTTGTTGGATGCTCTTGCATGCTGTAAAAAAACCTTGGGATGTATTAAACTTCTGGAA